TTGGTTTGTGGGTTTTAACATCAGTGATTGAAGCTGAGGGGTGACTTTCAATCGTTTGTCCTTGGTACCAAAAACAATTACTTCTGTTTTGTCTTTGTTTAATTGAAGAAAATTCTGGCACATCCAGTTGTTGATATGTTCAATGCAGTTACCCAGCCCTTTTTATGGGATTATAGTCACCTGGTGACATAGTTATGTAGATTTGTGTGTCGTCTGCATAATTATGATAACACACTTTGTTGTTTTCCATAATCTGAGCTAGTGGAAGCATGTAGATGTTGAACAGAAGAGGCCCCAGTATTGAACCTTGGGGAACACCACATGTCATTTTAGTCAGCTCTGATGTGTAATTAGCTACAGACACAAAGTATTCTCGGTCCTTCAAGTAGGATTCAAACCAGTTAAGTGCTGTGCCAGAAAGTCCCACCCAGATTTTTAGTCTTTCTAGGAGTATGGCATGGTTGACCGTGTCGAATGCAGCACTGAGATCCAGTAATACTAAGACTGAACTTCTGCCATTGTCTGTGTTTAAGTGGATGTCGTTGAAAACCTTAACAAGAGCAGTTTCAGTACTGTGGTGCTGTCGAAAGCCTGACTGGAAAACATCAAAGCAGTTATTTACGGCCAAGAAGTTGTTCAGCTGTTGGAAAACCGCTTTTTCAATTATTTTACTTAAAAATGGGAGGTTTGATATTGGCCTATAATTTTTCATTGTTGCGGAGTCTAAATTAGCCTTCTTTAGGAGCAGTTTAATAACTGCAGGTTTTAGGGCTTGTGGGAAGACACCTGAGAGAAGGGATGTGTTTACAATTTGTAAAAGATCAGTGGTCATGCAGTTTGAAATATTTTTGAAAAAGTGTTGGTAGAATATCCAAGCAGCAGGAGGATGACTTCAGATGTTGTATCGTGTCTTCTAGACTTCTACGGTCGATTGAATGAAATTGTGTCATGATATTTGAATGGATGTTATTCAGAGAAGGGGACAACACATATCCTGTGGTTGGTGTGGAGGCACTGACTGTCTAATTTTCTGAATTTTGTCAGTAAAAAAGGAGGCAAATTGATTGCATGCCCAGGTGGATTGGAGCTCAGCAAGGGAACCCTGGAGAAGTTGGACCCTTGCCCCCTTACCCGAAAGATTGTGCTCTCCATTGGCCTTAACAACTGTCTGAGAGGGAATTTATTGAAAACCATCCAAAAACAATTCCAGCAATTGATGGCAGTGATAAGCAGAGTCTTTCCCCAGGCGGAGGTCTCTGTGCCACTAATTCAATTCTCGACAAAGCTCCCACCGAGAACACAAACCCTTATAACACAAACAAACCTCTTCTTTGAAGAAAATGATAGGGTGTTGAAGAGTGTGGAGGGACATCTCTTTGGGGTACTGCCGCACGACCCAGTGCACTGGACACCAACGACTGCCTCGGGGATCCCGGAGTGTTGGATGAGGCAGTTGGACTAGAGGTTGTGGGACCGAGATTGCTCACCCACATAAAAATAAATACATCTCTGCCAAACATAAAAATACTTACCTTCAACCAACCTGATTTCAGGACCAGAGCCTGGGGTGGGGTGATCCGTGTATGGATGCCGTAACCCAAAATGAAATGCTGTCCAGCGGCCTAAAATAAAGTGGAATAAAAACAAAAAATGGTCATTTAGTTGGAGGCAGAAGAGGGAGTAGGATAAACCGTATGTGCCCGTGCTCTCTGCTTGCCTCCTTGGTAAGCAGAAAACTACTTTCCCCTCACCTAACCCTTAAACATTATAGGCCTCCAGATCTAACCTGTAGTCTGATCAGCCCAACCCCGGAGACCTTGGTTGTAGAGGGGCTTGTGCATTTTTTGGTCCTGCACACCATTGATGGTGTGTGGGACCACTGAACAGTCATTGATTTCTGAGAAGGCAGATGGACTAAAATAAATCGTATGTGCCCACGCGCTCTGCTTACCCCAGCAGTAGGCAGAAAACTATTTCCCTTTACCTAACCCTAACCCTAACCCACTCCAGCTGGATGAATCCACAGATGTACGACATTTATGAGCACATACTATTCTGCAAAACTTTGGAGGGGAAAACCACAGGAGAGGAAATTTTTGATGTTGTCAACACCTTCTCCTTTGAAAACAGCATGAGCTGGAAATCCTGCAGCAGCATCTGCACGGACGGAGCAGCATCAATGACGGGCAGCGCGACAGGACTTATAGTGCGCATTAAAAAAGAAAACCCCGACCTGAAGTTGACTTACTGTGTCATACACGGGGAGGCATTGGCGTCCAAGAAAATGAGCCCCGTGTTACATGACATTTTGAACGACAGCATCAAAGTGATCATCTTCATAAAGTCAAGGCCACGTAATGCATGCAAGTTTCGCCGCCTCTGTGAAAACATGGGAGCTGAACACACACAACTGCTGCTGCACACAGAAGTGCACTGGCTCTCTCGAGGGAGAATACTCAACCGGCTGTTTGAATTACGATCTTAAGTACACACCTTTCTGATGGAGCACAGATCTCCCCATGCCACCTTGTTCCAGGACACAGACTGGCTTGCAAAGCTGTGCTATCTGGCAGATATATTCAGCAAACTGAACAAACTGAATATGTCTCTGCAGGACACCAGCATTTTAAACCTGTATGACAAGGTGGGTGACTTCCTGAAGAAAGCAGAGCTGTGGAGAAGGGCCTGTGCACAGCGGATCTCACCTGCTTTCCTCAGGTGGGTGATTTTTCTCTCTAGTGAGGATGTGGACAGAGCTCCAGTCAAGTCGGTCATAGTGGGACATTTGACCAACTTGATTCAAGATTTTTATTTCTACTTTCCTGACATGGAGGAGAAATCTGCAGAGCTGGATTGGGTGAGAAACACATTTCTCTTGTCCGAAGCAAACGGAAGCAAGCTACTTGTCACTTATCAGGAAAAACTCCTGGAAATATCATCTGACCGTGGCCTCCAGATGAAGTTAGCCACATCCACACTCACACAGTTTTGTGTGTGTGTGAAGCAGGAGCACCCTGACCTGGGACAGAAAGCTTTGGAGCAGCTACTACCCTCCACATATTTATATGAGGCCTCCTTCTCTGCAATGACTGCGATCAAAACAAAGCAAAGAAACAGACTGTGCCTGGAGAAGAGCTTGATCACAGCAGTTGCCTCCCTGCCACCACGACAGACAAAGATCCCCAGTGAAGCACAAGCACAAGTTTCTCACTAAAATGTAAATGCAAAAGCACTCAGTTCAATGCAACAATGCAATCTTCAGTGTTGACAGTTTAATAAATCAGACATTGATGGCACAGCGCTGTATATTACATCTTTTTTTCAACCAAAAATGCTTTACGCTAGTTAGGGGGTACTTGGCTGAAAAAATATTTCACAGGGGGTACATCACTAAAAAAAGGTTGAGAACCACTGATCTAAGGAGTAGAATTATATTAGTGTTGCAGGGTTCTTATAGTAATATCATAGTACTAGTATAGGAATATTACAGGACTATTTTAGGAGTAGTATTGTTGCAGGGTTCTTACAGGAATATCATAGTAGTCGTAGAGGAGCATTACAGGACTATCTTAGGAGTAGTATTATATTAGTGTTGCAGGTTCTTACAGTAATATCATAGTAGTAGTAGTAGTAGTATAGGAGTATTACAACAGAAAGTCAGTAAACAACAGACCTCAGTGGGGTGTGTTCCTGCATGGTTGCGCTCCACCAATCAGCATCCAGCTCTTCCCCACGTGGGTCTCTTGTTTACTATGAAGCTGGAGAGCCACCGCAAGGGCTACTGGGAAAACCCGGAGCAGATCAGCTGGTCAGATGTCCGGAGTCCCTGCAGAGAGGACAATCAACATGAAGTGGTTGTTACAGATGTATTCTTTTTAAACACAGTTACATAATGTGGAGTCTGTTTACCAAGCAGACAGGTTCTCAACACTTTATCCAGGTGCATTATTGGATATGTGGGATCCAGTGATATTACAATAAAGTCTGGATATCTTAACTGTAAACCTTCCTTTAAATTTTCTAACGCTTATTCAGAGATGCGTCATGGCATTCTGAATATTTTTGAATTTTCACTTCATTTTTTTGGGAAACAAGTTATTGGTGGTCTAAATTAGCTGGCAATTAAATAATGTTATAGATTATTGAATAACATTACCAGTTATCAATACACTGAAATGTTATCAATCTCTTTAATAATAAAGAACTTTATCTGTGAACATGTTTTATTAAGCTGTGAACAGATTTTACACCAGTATTTCTTCTACTGTAGTAAAACTAAGTTTCACAAAGGGTTACAATTTTCTCAAATAATAGTTTGGTTGAAAAGTAATGAGTCCAAATCCATCCCAAGAACTGAAGGTGACATCTTAACCACAAATAAAGGAAGAAAACACACCAACGTTTTGAGCAACTTTGACTTTGTCTACATCCGTTGACACGGCGACGGTTGTAAAAATCCTCTCAGATGTACCGATGAACTGGACTTTGAACTACCTCCAATATCAAATCTGCATCACTATAAGACAGCAGAGCTACTGATGTAGTATAAAGAGTGAGATGGAGTACTCAGGGTGTACAGGTGAGTGGATGGTTAGACAAACATGCGACGCTAGTCATGTGACTTGTTTATCACTTGATCGTGACGTGACTTGTTGGTCCGTCTACTTAACAGCAACCGGCGCTTTCATAACCCGACCTCAATGGTTTTGTTGCCTAAACCTAACTGTGAAGATGGACGTTTATTTTGAAAAGACACGATGCATCATGTAAGTTGGCAATGAGAACGTATTGTTGTCTCATACAATGTGTTCATCCTCATGTCAGCCAATCAGAAACTAAACACCTTGAACTTTTACTTAAACTTGTATATTGGTCAAGACAGAATAAAACACACACGTTGTTCATCATATACTGGTTTGTGTTGATCCAGTCCATATTTTGTGTCACTCTCCTCCCTCCCTGAAGGTGTTGACACCACGTTCAGACTGGCTGCAGCCTGCAGAGGCACACACTCAGCTCTCTTTGTGGAAAACTTTATTTCTGTCATCATGTACATGAAGCTGTTCTGCATTTAACACATTTGAGCAGAAGGAGCAGAGTGCAGCTGCAGAACAACTCATTGAAGAGTAGTGGACTTATTCAGACCTCCACAAGTGCTGGTACGTGAGAACTGATGTTCTTATTAATGATGCATGTTTTTATTAAAGAACTGGTGCATGTTTTTATTCACACGTTTATCGTCTCTGTTTCCTGGTTTTCTGGCTTTACTGGTGTATCCAGTGTGGAGTGAATGAACACTGATCTGCTGCTTCAGTTCACAAAGAAAATGTCTTGACTCCACTTCACATACTGTCGCCCTTTCACCGCATTGTTACTTTTTACTCTAGTAATCAACATTATTGAAGGCGGGTGAATCATCTTTAGTAGTTGTGCTTTAAAACCTTTGATGGGTTAGGGTTAGGTTATTAGAAGCATTCACTGCTTTTCTTTGGAGTGTTTTTGTGTTGTTGGATTAATTATTTTGACTCAATTAACACTTTAGAGTTTCACAACTATAGTTTGAGATTTGTTTGGTTTTTGACATAAATGCATTGATGGATTTAATGGTGAGCTGTATTGTGTTTATTGAGGACTCTTGTTTTGGAGGGTGTGAGCATGGGAGGAATCTGATTGGTTGAGAGCTTAGAGCTGCAAACAGAAAGGGGGTGTGTTTGTACACGTGCATCTACAGTATGTGTGTGTGTTTTTATTTTTGTATATTTGTGTATATATTTATATAACATGTCTATACACTCTAAAAATCACTGGCTCAATATAACACTGACACTTTACCCAGCAGCCATTGGGTCACCTGTTGTTTTGGCTCAGTGTTTTTATTTATATTATATATAAATGTATTGTACATAACCAGGTGCATGTGTCATATAAAACTGTGATGGATGCAAATGTTAATAATCAGTAACAAATAGAGACATGTGATTCTAAAAAAAAAGATATTTTACTCCAGCAGAAGCATCGATAACACGACGTAAACACACTCATTACAAGTTTCTTAGTGTGTGTAAACTCTGCCTACTCTGAGCCAGATTAATACAAACCTTGAATATGTGTGTGTGTGTGTGTGGGGGTGGCCATGGTGACACAGGTTAGTAGTGAAGATGTTGTAATGATGATCAGTGTTGGCAGATACAACGTGATAAAGAAGCTTTGATTTACAGTTGGGCCTTTCTGTTCCGTTCATTTTAACCCTCTGCAATCAGTTACACACACAAGCACACACATGCACACATAAACACATATGCACACACACACGCATGCACACACACATGCAAGCACACACATGCAAGCTCACACACACATAGACACGCGCACACAGACACACACACAATTGCAGTTTTTTTTCAATTCTAGACTGTAATTTGAAGTCCTCGTTAATAGAAAAAGACATGTAGAAAAACTAAACTAAACTAACCCTAAACTAACCTCAGGTATGGTATCGGCACCATAGCCTATAATTTAAAATGATGAAGAAAGTTTTCCATTGTGCAAAAACATGATGGATACTGATCATTTTATGGACTATAAAAATAATTTAAATAATGTAATATATAATTTGTTAGTTTCACAAAAACTTTCAAAGGTCATTGAAGTCGCATTAGAAGACATAGCTGTGGACATAAAAACAAAGATTTAAAATAGAAAGCAGTCACAGAGATTGTGATGTTGAGTTTCTTCAGATGGAGGTTTGTGAAAATGAGTCAGTCTACTGATTCATAACTATGTCATTAGATAAGATACGAGCAGACAACTTTAGCCTACTGGCTACATTAGCTGCTACTAGCAGAACAGACCACAATCTCCCACCCAACTGTGGCCAGTCCAGTTGCATTGTGGATAATGTAGGCACCAGGGAAGGATTCATTGCCGCTCGACTTTGGTCCTAAAAAAGCATCCGTCGTGTGTCTGACAGAGCTGCTATCGGTGGAGAACTCTTGTAAAGCGGTCCAGAGCTGCTCTGTGAATTCATGTCCATTTGATCTGTTGACTCTCTCTGTATTCCACATTCAGACATGTTACCAAAGACACGTCTGGGGAAGCGGTCTCCTTTCGGGGCTTTGGTGATGCAAGCAGGTACACAAACAGGTGTCACCATGGAAACAGCAGCAGGACAACAGTCTGCCAGTCAAGTCAAAAGTCCTCGTATTCTGAAGGTGAGAGGAGCGTTCATCAACCTCTAGCTCCATTAATGGTCAAAACTTTACCATGTTTTTTGTTTTTTCTAAAATAACGAGGTGTCCTTATTTTTATGTCCAGTCCAGCAGTAAATACAATTTTTTTTTTTAGATTAAGGACAGAAAATGCCAGCATCCCGTTTCAGGTCAGAGAAAGTGATGAAAGCAATGAACTGTGGGAAAATACTCTGTCAGAGATGAAATAAGTTTGGAACGTTGCCTTGATTGACAGGTGTCTCTGCCTATCTGTCTCTTAGGTGTATTTTCAGTGTGGGGGAAGTGAGTCTTCAGGTGTGGATCAGCTCGACCTCAGACAGAGTAATGTTTCTGTCTGGTCTTCATCTCACCCCTCCTCCTCCTCCTCCTCGGTGCCTCCGTCCTGCATCAGATCCGTCTCCTCCTACATCAATGTCCCCAGAAGGTCAGACATCTTCTCCGTCTGTGTTTTCTTTTATTGTCGTTTACATATTTCATTTTCCAATGAATGAATTTAAACTTGTCTCGTCCTGCAGGCGGAGAAGTCTAGAAGAGGTGGACATGGATGAGCTGATGGCAGCGATGGTCCTCAGCAGTTTGTCCTGTAGCCCCGCCCACCCAGACCCAACAGGTACAACAACAATAAACAAACAAGGAGCAATGTCACAAACATCAAACAAAAATGACAATAGCAATAACCATTATCCATAACAACAAAAGCAAACAACAATCACTTACAAAAATATGAATGAAAACAATAACAAACAATTCAATTCAATTGTGTTTATGTATCCAAATATCACAAAACACAAATTTGCCTCATGAGACTCTAGACTCTGAAAACTCTGAGACGAGGATAACTCTGTTACCATGGTAACTGACTCTTTGAACCTAACCTGCTCACTGGAAGCTTTTCTCTCTGACTCCTCCCTCTTAAAGAGACAGACACTCTGTTTCATTTCCTCATTCAGTCCGTATCAAAGCGTATAAATTCACAAAGGTTTCATGTTTAAATCCTGGTCAGATATTAGTTTGTTTCTCAGGGAAATCAAAAGTTTCTTCTTGTATGTGTTGACAGACATTTCTTTGAACAGAGTTTTTTGCCCTCTAGTTCAAATATTACAAAGAGTCAACTCACACTAAAACCTCTGCATGTCCTTTTAGCAGGAGTTGTTTTATATATAATTATATAACACGGTTGATGTCATCTGTCACTGATCGAACATAATTAGGGTTCGGGTTAGACAGTGGCGGGCTGTGCATTTTATACCTGGGCCTTCACTGCTGTCCTGCAGCTGAAATACCACCTTATAACGACATGATGGCGCCACAGCTATTATTCGTTTTTAAGGCTGTAACTATGTACATCTTCGTATTAAACTGTTCGGTCCAAGACTTACAATACGTTTGAATAGTACTAGAGCATTTGGATAATGTAGAAGCTTAAATTCAGGAAAATATAATGTTTTCTACGCTCATGGAGGACAGTGTTTCTCAGCTGGTCTGGCCGTGGGATCCTCCATCATTCCTTAATGACAAGCCGCAACCCACAGAGATCGTCTTATGATTTTACTTTCACAACTTGAACATTGAACGTACTGCTCTGCACTGTCTTTCCTCGTCTCAGCCCCCTGGGTCATGGTGTGTGGTACATCTCACTCAGTTAGAATGCCCATATTTGATTGGCTGAGCTGCATCACGTGATGTGATTCACTACCCGACTAAGCCTCTGCTGTTAAGTTTCGTTTCACGATAGTCACGTGCTCGCCCACTGACCAATCACAGCACACTCTGCACCACGCGGCAGAGCTGCACATGGACACTGAGCTGCACGTAATGCTGACGTCATTATAGGCCGGCTAGCAGGTGCTGACACGTCAAAGAATACGCCCAACATGTCAAACTAAAGATCTGATTGGTTGAAGACTATGACAATCAACAATATCGTCCCCATTCACTTAAACTGCACATGGATGCACTTGTGAGTCTGCAGGCCTCTGCCTCTGTTCTTACCTAGAGACACAGAGGTGAGATCTGATTGGATAAAAGCTCTACTTAAAACAAGCTGCACTGGAAGCAGAGCAACTGAGGAAGACAGTAGCTGTGCAATGAGAAAATAAGATAATGGGGAAAATATTTTATAAATTAGAATACATGTAGTGTATTTAAGAAAAATTATTAAATTATATAATAGATATAACTTTGTGATTCTGTTTAGGCCAGCAGAGAAGGCCTTACAGGCCCTGACGGCCCACCACTGGGGTTAGAGAGCTATAAAAAGGAATTTCACCAACAATAATTACAGAGAAGCACCACTTTATGTTATGTGTTTACCAGAGATGTGCTCATAATTGTCTTGGAAGAAACAGTATTCAAAAACGATTAATCGACCAAAACGATTACTAAAAGGGGGCAGCACGAGTCTCCATCACAGACTTTGCCCACCAGAGAGTGTTGATAAGTGGATTTTTAAACTGTAAAATCACTCAATACGCGTGTCAGTCACCGTCGTAATCAAAGATGTTTGTTTATCTTATGTAAAATGAATATCAATATATTGAGTTCAGCATTGGCCTAAACGTGCAGCCTCATTCTGTGTCTTCTCATGTGGCATTTTACTGTTTAAAGTATATTCATATATTTCATCATTAAAATATGATTTTTTTTAATCAACATGTGAAAAGGCAAAGACATGTTTATATGAAAATAAGAATAAAATCCGGTTTAATGTGGCAGATAAAAAGGAGTCCAACTCGTGGTTTCAATAGTATTTATAGTAACAGTAAGAGTCAAGTATTTATATTTATGGGAGGTATAATGTCTGAAGTATATAGTAAATCATCTTATGCAGAAAGAAAACACGGGCGTCACTCGTTAGACAATAGTAGGATTATAGGCATGTAGTTTTAGTCTTGGGGTTAGATTTAGTCTTCAGGATGTTCTACATGTTTATCTTCATGTATGTTTCAGCTCCTCTGATGGACTGTAGAGGTAGTAAACTCTAGTCTTAGGGTTAGATGTAGTCTTCAGGATGTTCTACATGTTTATCTTCATGTATGTTTCAGCTCCTCTGATGGACTGTGGAGGTAGTGAACTCTCTGACAGCGGCAGCAGTGGCTACTGGAGCGTCGGCCTCTGCAATGGAAGCCCAGCCGACTCTCCATCCATCGCACAGCCCGATGTTGGCCCATCCTCTCCCTCTGATGAAGGTCTGGACATGGAGCTAGAGCAAGTGCTGTTTAATGAGCCAGCGCCACGGAAACGTCGGGTGAGCAGGTGTTACAGCTGTCATAGGACAAGTAAAACGCTGACACAGCAGACGGTGAATGGCGACCTGTGTTTCCTCCCTCAGAACTCAGTGAAGAGGGCTTACAGGTGTTTGTGGCCGAGCTGTGGGAAGGTGTTGACCTCAGTGGTGGGAATAAAACGACACATCCGGACAACTCACCTGTGGTGAGACTCACCTTTCTCTTCTTCTCTCATTGTAAGATATTCATTTCAGATTTGATATGATTCAATGAAACCACATGGAGTGGAATCAAAGCTGGATTCATCATCCGTCTAATTTCTGGTGAAAAGTTTGGAATTATATGAAGTAAAAAATGACGCTGGTGTTCTTCATCTTTACGGCAAAGTATTTATTGATTGAGAACGCAGGCAGATCGGTAACGAACACCATTATTAACTGCGGCCCCAATTGTGACTCACTGTCTATTAATTCAGAGTTTAATTTATAATAAAAGACTTTTGAGCCATTCCTTTGTATTTTCCTGGCAGAAATGGGCTTCAAATCACCAGAAACGATGAGCTCGAAAAATACTTTAGATATCAAAACCGCTGCTTCCAAAACTAGCACCACGCTAACATTAATATCTGATTATTTCATGTTGAATGTTATGATCTGACCTCTCACAGCCGAGGCAGCGAACACGAGCGTTGTTCCCGCAGCGAGGAGGACTTTTATTACACTGAGGAGAACCAGTGGGACCAGCAGCACCAGTCTCCTCCTCATCCTCTCCTCTTCGTCTCACCAAACTCCTCCTCCTCCTCACCTCCCAGCCCTCCCCCTCCCTCCCCTACGTCTCCCCCTCCTCCAGCCCACAGTCGCTCCGCCCCCTCCTCCTCCGAGAGCTTCATGCAAGTCCAATCAGAGCACTCCTACCAGGTAGGGCGGGGCTTATCAACAGTGATTGACAGCAATTGTGTGTTCGACGCAAAAGTTTATTATTTAAACACAAACTACACTCTATTGTTTTATAAACTTGATTTTTTTATACAAGTAATTCAGTCAAAAATAAAACACAGTAAGGTAATCTTTTTATTTTCTATTTTGACTTTAGATCTTTCATCTAAATTCTCTGTGTTTTTCAAAGCATCCGTGTTGTTTTGTTGTATTTGTTATATTGAAATTAAGGTAAATAAAATGTAACGTATGAACCGAGAAGTGATTTATAAAGTGGACGGTGGGTAAACTTGATTTGTTTGAATAAAGTTGCTTTTGGTTTTCTCTCCTTTAAATTGAATGCACAGTTTTTATGATTCTGATCATGTTATACAGTGAGGGCCTTGAGTCCAATGATGTTACTGTTCCCTTGTGTTATCAACATTAAACAGACTTTTAATGCCATTAAGTATATAAATGTGAGTGATATTTTGTATTTCTTTAGGCTCCACCTCTCAGTCATGTGACATCAGCGGCAGTTTTGAACACCTGTCATTGGACGGCCCCGCCCACCAGCAGCCTCAACCAGGTAAGTCCTTAAAGCAGCAATATGCAACATTCAGATCAATTATATATAATCAAACAACTCTCATCTACATGAAGATTAAAGTAAAGTAAAGAGTAAAGTCTGATCAGAGAATCAAGTCTCTTTCTCTGTGTTTGTTATCAGAGCATCTCTCTTTGTTCACAGAGCCGTCCGTGTGGCCTTTAGTGCATGTTAGTGCATGTTTGTGCATGTGAGGGAATAAAAAGACCATAAAATAACACTTGATTCATCCAAATTATATATCTGATTATATATGAGAGGACAGCAGGTGAAATACTGCTGATAACCTAAAACAAAAAGACGAGTGTGCAGAAAACACTGCAAACTGCTGCAAAGTTCTGAAAACTCTGCCAAATACTTACACGTATCCCCCCCCCCCCCCCGACATTATCTCACACACACACACAAACTCACACTTCTAATTCAATCTGTTTTCTCTCAGTCTGGATTCTGTACAGTTGTCTGTTGTTTATTTCCTCTAGCAGCCAGTTCAAACTGGTTTTAATGGAGCGGGCTGAATATGGAGCTAAATCCAGGTCAAAAGTTTTGTTCATTTGAAAAAAAA